CGATCTTTAGTGAGATTATGTAATGTTCAATGGGGTGGGGCTCATAAAGTCAGTTTATCGCCTTGTACGCTAGTCAAATTACACCTTGTGTTTTCAAACGCTCTCCTGGTCGACGATCAGGCAGTCACAACAAATCTTCCTTGAAGGGGACACCCATGGTTGAGCTTGAGAACCTCTCGTTTGAAATTTTGAAAAAGCAATAAAATGCTACTGGCAGCATCTGATTGTTCACGAGTCGATCGAGTAAAGAAAAGAGATCGTCGACCCGCTGTGTGAGGTGATGAGATGTGGTGGTGGAATATTCAAGTGACAGCCTGAACGTGTTGGGATTCCCGTTCAGTGAAAGAAGCTAAAATTTGTGTTATGGTATACTGACAAGTTTTTCTGTGTCTTTTTTTTTGTCCTTTTGTTTTAGAAACTCGAAACGGGAATATTACAGCCGCAGAACCCGTCGCACCTTTGGTTCCGAAAGTGACTCGTTCTTTGTTGGACTCGCAGTTGGGGCATTTGGCTGACGAAATTGTGATGCCGAGGAGAGCGAATAATTCTGAAGACGCTGCTGCGCAAGCTGAAGCTGCCATTATCGAGGACAGGGCTGTGGAAGCCATGAACATGTCTGGGGAAAGAGGAAACGGGGTCGTTAGTGACGATAATCCCGTCGCTGATTTGGAATACAACAAGTAAATTTCGTCCCTTGTTTGTTTTGGAGCAAAATTGAAAAACGTATTTTTGTTGTTGCTTTGGGAAATGTGGTACCATGAGCGAAAAATTCGTAGCTCGTGGTTTCTTCTTTGTCGTTGAAAAATGTCTTTCAAGAAGCGTATCGCTTTAGGTGCTTTAGTTATTTTATTGACCTTATTTTAGTGTGTGATCTTCAACGAGGCGTTTTTGTTTTGTATTTTGTTTGCGTGTGATGATGTTATTGTCGAGTTGTTGACTGACTTCAATGTCATCAACGTGTGAATTCTCCGTAATTTTTGCAAATCATTTTCAAGTCAACTTTACAGCATTATCGAAGCTGTTCAGAATATTTTGTGCTTCGAATCAATGTGCAGCATTCATTTCGTAGAATGCCCCGTTTTCGTGATGGTTTCTCAAACCTTTTTCTCCCGAATAAATGGATGACATAATTTATGTACTGTAGATCGCGCATTTAAATCGGACATTTATGTTCAGTGTTCCAGCCTTAAAGTTTTATCCTCGTTGAGATGCTCAGTTTTTTCTTGGTTCGATTTAATTTCGAAAAGATCTGTTGTAGGTTATGTTAGTGAATATTTCACCGCAATTAATCGAACACGGATGGTTTTTGACTCATTTAAAAGTAACGGATTTTAGAACTACTTCACTGTATTTTTTTGGAAGCTCTAATGTTGGCAGGAAAGTAATGATCTATTGTTTTGCCGAAGAATTTTTGCTGTATAAAATCTATCGAGGGCACGTGTCTCACGATATTGCAATAGACGGACTAAAGCGCTATTCATCTAATTTTTTTTCTGAATTGTCTTTTATGTCTACGTAATTATCTTCGCGAATCCAGTCGAAATTTTCCATTTGTCAAGAGCGTACCTGACGTTTTGATCTTGTTTTGTGGATTGTATGTCTTTCAGTGGTTGCATTTGGCTTGCTAGGTACCAAGTGAACACCTTGATAATATAGCTAGACTAAATTACAAAATGATTTTTTAGATTTAATAACTTCCGCGTACCAGTAGGGAATTTTCTGTTTCCCTGCATTGCAAAGCATCGATTTCGTTAACCAGAAATTATCTTGTCAACTTGATCATGGTTCTGACGAGATTCGATGTCGCATTTCAGTGAAGCTGAAGCCGTGGACAGGGGAGAAGGATTTGGTGGACCCTACGAAGCACCGTACTATCCGATTCAAGAAATTGAAGCTAGAAAAACTCTTGCAAGTCGTCGCTTGACACGGTGAGATCCTAGCAACATCTACTCCTACGGCAATTTCTAATCATTTGACTAATCTTTGTTTGCAATCGCTAATTTTTGCCATTTCTTACCCTTGTGCTGCCTTTGTGTGGGATTCGTTGCCCGGGAATATATTTATTTTTTTGGTGGGGTTCTGGGAAATGCGTGAGGGTAGATCTATGTNATTTCAAGGGCGCATGGGTGGGGCAGAAGAATGAAGGGTGTAAAGCATGCGAATTAACTCCACTCACTCACGTCGTTTTCCGAAGATTCGTTCCCAGGAATTTTATTTAAATCTTTGCTTCTTCCGATTTTTCAGGACGAAGGTCAGGGTTGATGCAAATGGTCATCCAAGAGTTGGAGCCATTCGTGTTTCCGCAACATCGAGCAGTAGCAGCGAAGGAGTCGCTGCTCAGGATACCACCAATACTGGCAGGTTTGTGCCCTGGATGTGTGTAATTTATTCATGTAATGGGTTTTTTGTTACACCTGAATGATTCGTGTGATGAATTTTCCGACTAGTTTCATTTCAGTAAAAAATATGAGTCGCTATTGATGAATGTCACTGCCGTTCGCGATGGCATTTTGATTTTAATTGGGCACCAATATCGCAGTAGTTCAATCTGCGTATGGGGGTATTCTTACAAGGGCTGGTTCATCAGTTTAGGCTTCCATTTGCTTTCATTCAAGAATGGAGACTCATAAAGTTTGACAGAGTTGAGTCGGATTTTTTTTCGTCTTTTTAATGATCATTTCACTACCTCCATTCTACGTTTCGCACGTTTTGGTCGACCTGGAATATACGTAGTAGACTGAGATGAAAGTATTGTACACCCTCATAATGCCTCTTCCAAAGTATTCAAATGCAGATGGACTCCCTCTGCGACGATCTTGTCTACAACGATGTCCTCTGTATAACGATTTTTTTTTGTGGTCCCATTATACTGTTCTCTCCCCATGTTGTAGATGTTCTCTACAAAAAATGTCTTTCTGCTCCCCTCAGTTTCGTTGTAGAAAGAGTCCCCCGAATTTGTGAAAAATAATCAATGTGAAAAACAATTGCTTCAGGGTATATTGCTAACAACTTGGCGCAAATTGAATATTCTCCAGTGACGTGTTCGCTAATTATCGTGTGAATGCGATGATAATGTTTAATGGAGAATGTGAGTATTTCCTCAAAATTTAAATTCTCGAACAGGAAGTTACTAAAGCTAAGGCTACAGCTGAATAAACTTCTTGCGAATGAGACGATTTTTTGTAATCTTCTTCAAAATACTACTCTTCAAGTACCGTAATCCCTAACTAATTCCTGAGAGAGCCATGTTTCGATTGATGGATCCAAAAGGTTGAAAATGCACTCGTGATCATTTGAGAGGAACTTGAACGGATTAGAAGTGAATTTGTCCTTCGAAAAGAAAAGCCCTTCTGAATCGAAAGCACTTTTGTTCAACATTAAGCTTATTCTTTAGTATTGCTGTAGGAGCTTAATGTATTAATGTGTAATTAAGCGCAATGGTTTCCCGAAATTATGTAAAATTATTCCTCGTTCTCTGTTTCAAGCAAGTCTTCTTGAACTGCCCAATTACTAGATGTATTCACCGCCGTTTTTCGATGATTATTACGGGAAAACCCATCGGAATGCTGTGCAGCACAAACTTCTTGAAAAATTTGTATAATGATTTACCTTGGAAATATTTTTAAAATTTTATTCGTGCACTCTTCCATACGTGATGTTGATTTTTTCAAGAATCCGAAGTGTACCATTAGCAATTTATATTGTCCGCAAGATAAAGTGAATGTTGCAGCGCGCATTTCGTGAAATCCGCGAACTCTTGCCCTGCAAACTGGTCCTCTGCGTTTGCGTGACATCACACAGTATCCGTAGGTCTTCA